TCGAGGCTGCGGTGGCCGGAAGCGGCCACTGCACTCCAGTCTGGATGACAGAGTGAGACTTCCACTCAAAAAAAAAAAGTGCAAAGGAATTCAGTGGACATTTCTCCAACGATATACAAATGAGGCCAGGTGCGGTAATTCACGCCTGGCATCCCAGCACTTTGGGAGGCAGAGGCAAGAGGATTGCCTGAGCTCAGGGATTCAAGACTAGCCTGAGCAACGTGGCGAGACCTTGTCTCTTAAAAAAAAAAAAAAAATATGCAAAAGGCTACAAAGTAACAATGCTCAGCAACAGTAGTCATTAGAGGTCAGCAGGTGGCTCATGCCTGTAATCTCAGCACTTTGGCAGGCTGAGGCGGGAGGGATGCTTAAACCCATGAGTTTGAGACAAGCTTATGCTATATAGTGAGACCTTATCTCTACAATAAAATCAAAAAATTAAGCAGACATGGTAGCACAAGCCTATAGTCCCAGCTACTCGGGAGGCTGAGAAGGACTGTCTGAGCCCAGGAGGTCAAGGCTTTTTAGTGACCTGTAATTGTACAGCCACCCTCTAGCCTGGGCAAGAATGAGATCCCCGACTAAAAAAACAAACAAACAAAAAAACTATACAGCATTAAAGGCATTGTCACCACGTTGTACAATACATCTTCTGAATTTATTCTTCCTTCCAAACTGAAATTTTGTATCCTTTGACCAAACTCTTTCCCTAATCTACCCCTATCTCTGGTAACCACCCTTCTATACTCTGCTTCTAAATTCAACTTTTCTGCCGGGCACAGTGGCTCACACTTGTCACCCCAGCACTTTGGGAGGCAGAAACGAGAGGATTACCTGAGCCCAGGGTTCAAAACCAGCCTGGGCAACTCAGCGAGACCTTGTCTCTACAGTAAATCAAAAAACTTAGCCAGGCGTGGTGGCACGCACCTGTGGTTCCACCTGCTTGGGAGGCTGGCGTGGATGTATTGCCTGAGCCCAGCAAGTCAAGACAGGTGGCTATGAGCATGCCACTGCACTCCAGCCTGGGCAACAGACTTCAACTCAAAAATAAAAACAAAAATTTGTAGAGACAAGATCTCAACAACTTTCCCAGATTGGTCTCAAACCCCTGGGCTCAGGCAGTCCTCTTATCTCCGCATCCCAAAGTGGTGGGAATACAGGCATGAGCCACCGCACCAAGATCTAAATTCATCGTTTTGATTCTACATGAGTAAGATCATGCAGTATCAGTCTTTTTATGCCGGCTTATTTCACTTCACATAATGTCCAAGTTCATCTATGTTGTCACAAATTAACAACGTACTGTGATACTTAAAAACCACTACCTGGGCATGCTGGGGTGCACCTCTAGTCCCAGTTATGGGATGCTGACATGAGAGGTTTACTTAAGCGCAGAAATTCAAGGCTGCAGTGAGCTATGGTCACACTACTGCAGTCCAGCCTGGGCAAAAGAATAAGATTCTTTTTGGGGGGACAGGGGAAGGAAAGAAAATTGCTAAGAGAATGATTTTAAATATTTTCACCATAAAAGTATGTGAGGTAATGGATACGCTAATCAGCTTAATTTAGCATTTGAGGATGTATAACTATGAAAACATCCTGTTGTACACTGTAAAATATATACAACTTGTATTTGTCAATTTTAAAAACAAAAGATTTTGTTATTTGATTTTATTAAATTAGGCATGGTGGTGCACACCTATCATTCCAGCATTTTGGGAAGGCTGAGGTGGGAGGAACCCTTGCTACCAGGATTTTGCATCTAGCCTGGGCAACATAGCAAGTGAGACCCTGTCTCTTAAAATTTTTTTAAAAAAAGGCATTTTGCTCACTGGTAGAAAATACAGGGCTCTTACTGCAACCCATATTCACATTCCATAGAGGTTCAAGCCTTCCCTTCATCCAGAAGTCACCTCCAGCATCCTAGAGCATCGGTGTTTTGTGGTTAAAGCAATTCAGTAGTAGAGACAGCTTCATGAAGAGTTGGGGAGCTTAAGTCTGGCAGCTGTTGATCATTCTTCTCCAAGCTGTGTCGGATCCCATATCCAAAATAGACAGCAAATCCTAGCAAAGAAATGAATCAGTGGTTGGAAATGTCATCATCCCTTCCCTTATAAATGCCCACTAGGGATTCTACTCATGGTTTTTTTTGTTTTGTTTTGTTTTTTGAGTTGGAGTCTCACTGTGTTGCATAGGCTGGAGTGCAGTGGCACGCTCACAGCCACCACAGTCTCAACCTACTGGGCTCAGACAATCCTTCTGCCTCAGCCTTCCAAGTAGCTGGAACTACAGGCAGATGCACCATGCCCAACTACCTTTTTTTTTAACTTATTGTAGAGACAAGGTCTTGCCAAATTGTCCAGGCTGGTCTCGAACCCATGGCTCAGGCAATCCTCTCACTTAGGCCTCCCAAAGTGCTGGGATTATAGGTAACAGTCACCATGGCTGGCATGTTTTTTTTAGATTGGAAAATACAGTTTATTTAAAAAGTGAATTAAGTCGGGCTTGGTGGTTCAGCCTGTAATCCCGCACTTTGGGAGGCTGAGGTGAGTGGATTGCCTGAGTCCGCAGGTTCGAGACCCGCCTGGGCAACTTGGTGAGACCTCATCTCTACAATAAATCAAAAAATCAGCCGTGCGTGGTAGCGCGCCTGTAGTTCCAGCTACTCGGAAGGCTGAAGCGGAAGGATCGCCAGAGCCCAGCTGGTCGAGGCTGTGGTGGCCGGGAGCGGCCACTGCACTCCAGTCTGGGTGACAGAGTGAGACTCCAACTCAAAAATAAATAAATAAATAAATAAATAAATAAAAAGTACATTAGAGGCTGGGTGCAGTGGCTCAACCTGTAATCCTAGCAATTTGGGAGACTGAGGCAAGAGGATTGCTTGAGCCCGGGGATTCAAGACCTGCCTGGGCAACTTGGTGAGACCTCGTCTCTACAATAAATAAAAAAATAAGCTGGGCGTGGTCACACACCTGTAGTTCCAGCTACCTGGCAGGCTGAGGCGAAAGAATCGCCTGAGCCCAGCAGGTCAAGGCTGTGGTGGCTGTGAGCATTCCACTGCTCTCCAGCCTGGGTGGCAGAATGAGACTCCAACTCAAAAATAATAATAAAAAAATAAAAAGTAAATTAGAAAGGAGATTCACCTCCCCAGTGTCGGGGAGGGGGCCAAGACTAGAAAACATGGTGACTGTGGCTCAGCAAAACAGTGATGGGGTTTCTCTTTTTATTTATTATTTTATTTATTTATTTTTTTAGTCAGAGTCTCACTCTGTTGCCCAGGCTTGAGTGCAGTGGTATACTCACGGCCACCGCAGCCTCGACCTGCTAGGCGGCTCAGGTGATCCTTCCACCTCAGCCTTCCAAGTAGCTGGAACCACAGATGCGTGCCACCATGCCCAGCTAATTTTTTTATTTAGTGTAGAGAGGAGGTCTCACCAAGTTGCCTGGGCTGGTCTCCAACCCGTGGGCTCAGGCAATCCTCTCACCTCAGCCTCCCAAACTGCTGGGATTATTAACGTGTGTCACCACACCTGGCCCTGGGTTTCTCTTTTTCTAAAGACAGGGTCTTGCTGTGTTGCCAGGCTGGAGTACAGTGGTATGATTGATTATAGCTCACTGCCGCTTGGAACTCTTAGGGTCAAACAATCCTCCTGCCTCAACCTCCCAAATAGATGGGACTACAGGCATGGGCCACCATGTCTGGTTAATTTTTCTTTTATTTTCTTAGAGACAGTCTCACTATATTGTCTAGGCTGGTCTTAAACTCCTGTCCTCGTTTTGGTTTTTTTTTGTTTTTTTTTTATAAAATGGGCAAAAGATATGAACAGACACTTCACAAAGAAGACACCCAAGCAGCCAACAAACACATGAAGAAATGCTCAACCTCACTAATCGTCAGGGAGATTCAAATCAAAACCACACTGAGATACCACCTAACTCCAGTCAGAATGGCAATTATCAACAACTCAAAAAATAACAGCTGCTGGAGAGGGTGTGGTGAAAAGGGAACACTTCTACACTGTTGGTGGGAGTGTAAACTAGTGCAACCTCTGTGGAAAGCAGTGTGGCGATTCCTAAAAGCTCTAAAAATTGACCTTCCATATGACCCCGCAATCCCCCTACTGGGAATATACCCTGAAGAACTCAAATCACTCTATAAAAAAGATACCTGCACACGTATGTTTATCGCAGCTTTATTCACAACCTGCAAGAACCTGGAAACAACCATGCTGCCCATCAAAAGAGGACTGGATTAAAAAAATGTGGTACATATACATGATGGAATACTATGCAGTCATTAAAAAGAACAAAATCATGAATTTCGCAGCAACCTGGATGGAACTAGAGTTTATAATACTGAGTGACCTCTCACAGAAACAAAGATCCGAGTATCACATGTTCTCACTCATATAATGGACCTTGAACATCCAATGTAATACTATAAGAAAATGACTGACGGTACTGGGAAACTATGGTGGGGAGAGGGAGATGGGATTAACAGTAGCAAATATCTGTCTGGGGATGGGGAAACACCTCTTATCAACAGGGTGCCTGAATGAAACATAACTGTATACCTAACCCTTAACTGTACCCCACAAAACCATAATAAAAAATATTTTAAAAAATAAAAATTAAAAAAAAAAAAAACTCCTATCCTCAATCGATCCTCTTGCCTCAGCTTCTTGGGTAGTTAGGACTACAGGTGTGTCACCTCCCCAGCAAATTTTTTTATTTTTTCTGTTTTGAAGAGACAAGGTCTCGCTGTATTGTCAGGCTAGTCTCCAACCCCTGGCCTAAAGTGACCCCTACCGCCTCAGCCTCCTGAGTCACTGGGATTACAGACGTGCACCACTGCACCCAGTCTGAGACAGTTTTAGGGCAAGGTAGTAGGAAGAAGGTTAGGCTCAGTCACCCAAGCAGACTCTTTTTTCCCAGAAAGCCACTCACCAATCACCATCCAGACTCCATATCGGGCCCAGGTCTCAACGGTCATCTGCATCATCAGGTAAACATTCACAAAGATGCTTATCAGTGGGAGGACAGGCAGCAGAGGGACCTGTGGGCAAAGACAGTTACCCGCTGAACACACTACAGATGTCTGAAAGAGCGCTTCCTACCTGTTGAGTGGGAAGACTCCGGCTCTGTTCCAGGTGGATATTCTATACCTGTGGATACTGAGTATCCCACTGGGTGTTCCAGAAGAAACTGGTATCGGGAGATGCAATTAGCAAAACACCAAGTAGGAGCTTTGGGCAGGTAGGGGTGTGTCCACGAATGATCCATTGGTTTTGGCAACTCCCATTTGCTTCCCTGGTCCAGGAAAGAGTATTTAGACCTCACAGGAAGAGTTCACTGAGAGAGTGGGTAATTTGGGGACATAAAGTGACCTACCTTGAAGTAAAGAGGAGTGTCACTCTGGGGCTGTCTCCAGATGATAAAAGTGAACCCAATAATGAGCACCAGCAAGGTGACGACCACCCCTGCATACACTAGGTCTCCAGAGAACAGGTATCTGGGCCACTTAGCCAGTATCAGGCATAGAATCATTAGCAAGATGACTGGAAAAGAGTCAAGCCAAGGAAGAATAAGTTCAGCTCCGGGAGATAAATGAGTTAAGATCTTAAGCCAGTGCGGTGGCTCATGCCTATCATCCCAGAACTTCGGGGGGCAGACGTGAAAGGATTGCCTGAGTCCAGGGGTTTGAGCCCAGCCCGAGCAACTTGGCAAGACCTCCTGTCTACAGTAAATCAAAAAATTAAGCAGGCATGGTGGCACGTGTCTGTAGTTCCATCTATTTGGAAGGTTGAGGCAGAAGGATTGCCTGAGCCTAGCAGGTTGAGGCTGTGGTGTCTATGAGTGTGCCACTGAACTCTAGCCTGTGTGACAGAGTGAGACTCCAACTCAAAAAAAAAAAAAAAAAAAAAACAGGATCTTAAGCTGGGCATGGTGGCTCACACCTGGAATCCCAGCACTTTGGGAGGCAGAGGCAAGAGGATTGCCTCAGTCCATGGGTTTCAGACCAGCCCGGGAAACTTGGTGAGTTGGTGAGACCACGTCTCTACAATAAAGCAAAAATTATCTGGGCGTGGTAGCGTGCACCTGTAGTTCTGGCTACTTGGAAGGCTGAGGTGGAAGGATCACATAAGCCCAACAGGTCGAGGCTGCAGTGGTTGTGAGGGTGCCGCCGCACTCCAGCCTGGGCAACAGAGTGAGACTACAACTCAAAAATAAATAAATAAGCCGGGCTCAGTGGCTCAGCATGTAATCCCGTGCCTTTGGGAGGCTGAGGTGAGTGGATTGCCTGAGCCCGCGGGTTCGAGACCCGCCTGGGCAGCGAGACCTCATCTCTACAATAAATCAAAAAATCAGCTGGGCGTTGGTAGCGCGTGCCTGTAATTCCGGCTACTTGGAAGGCTAAGGCGGAAGGATCGCCGGAGCCCAGCAGGTTGAGGCTGCGGTGGCCGGGAGCAGCCACTGCACTCCAGTCTGGGCGACAGAGTGAGACTCCAACTCAAAAATAAATAAATAAATAAATAAATAAATAAATAGTCATGGGTCGCATCTCATCCCCAAAACTGCTCACATCAAAGGCCACTAGATCCTCAAGACACCTCCTCAGATGCCAAAGGCACATGCTTCTGGCCCACACAGGCAGCTTCAGAACAGCCCACAGGGAAACCCCACTACTCACCAACCAGGGAGGTACATCCATAGACGACCCGGCCAGACCTCAGGGTGGGCGTGGTGTTGACAGGGTGAAGACTCTTCAGCGTCTCTGAGGTTCCCACTGCAGGAACAAACTCTGAGAATTTTTTTACAGGCTCAGGCTTCATCTCAAATACTTTCTCATTCTGGCTGAAATTCTGGTCTGGTTGATATCTGAGTTAGAGATATGAAGATAATATTAGGCCAGGCGTGGTAGCTCATGCCTGTAATCGTAGCACTTTGAGAGGCTACGGCAAGAGGATTACTTGAACTCACGGCAAGAGGATTACTTGAACTCCGGGGTTGGAGACCAACCTAGGTAACATAGCAATATCTTGTCTCTACAGCAGTTTGGGAGCCCGAGGCAAGTGGATTGCCTGAGACCACGGGTTCAAGACCCACCCAGGCCAACTTAGGAAGGCTGAGGCGGAAGCACCGCCAGAGCCCAGCAGGTCGAGGCTGTGGTGGCCAGGAGCATGCCACTGCACTCCAATCTGGGCGACAGAGTGAGACTCCAACTCAAAAGATAAATAACTAAATAAATAAATTTTTTAAAGACTATATTAGCTGGGCACGGTGGTTCATGCCTCTAATCCCAGCACTTTGGGAGGCCAAGGTAAGAGGATTGCCTGAGCTCAGGGGTTCGAGACCAGACTGGGCAACTTGGTGAGACCTTGTCTCTACAATAAATAAGAAATAATTAGCCGGGCATGGTGGCCCATGTTGTGGTTCTAGCTACTTGGAGGCTGAGGCAAAAGGATCACCTGAGCCCAGCAGGTCGAGGCTACAGTGGCTATAATCGTGCCACTGTACTCCAGCCTGGGTGACAGAGTGAGACTCTGACTAAAAAAAAAAAAAATGGGGGGAATCTAGCAATCTGTATGTTAACAAGTCCTCTAGACAAATGTCTCAGCTATGTATTTACCCATCATCAATCAGTCCAACTGGAGATTTTTTTTTTTTTTTAAAGTCAGAGACTCACTGTGTATCCCAGGCTGGAGTGCAATGGCATGTTCATGGCCACCACAGCCTGACCTAGGCTCAGGTGATCCTTCCGCCTCAGTCTTCCAAGTAGCTGGAACTACAGACACGCACCACCACACTCGGCTAATTTTTCTTGATTTATTGTAGAGATGAGGTCTCACCAAGTAGCCCAGGCTAGTCTTGAACTCGTAGGCTCAGGCAATCCTTTCACCTCGGCCTCCCAAAGTGCTGGTGTGGGCCACTGTGCCTTGCCTTGCTGCAAAATTTCATTGTCTTCTTTTATTGAATACCTGCTAACAACTTCATTAGCCAGGCTTGGTGGCCCACACCTGTAGTTCCAGCTACTTGAAAGACTGAGGTAGAAGGATGCCTGAACCCAGCAGGTTGACACTGCAGTGGTCTTGATTATGCCACTGACTCCATTCTGGGCAACAGGGTGAGATTCCAACTAAAAAAAGAAAAAAATGAAAAAAAAATAGGGTCTAGTACTATTCATGGTTTCAGGCATCCACAGGGGGTCTTGGAATATGTCCCCTGTGGATAAGGGGGGTACAACTGTACCCTCTAGCCAAAGTGCCAAAGAGAGAAAAGGATTGGCACCCTATCAGTCCTCATGAGTCCAAGACCCCAGTCAGGGTTTAGTGATGTCTCACCTGAGGACAAGAACACAGAAGGCCACCAAAGAGTAAGTAAGCAGGGTCCCAATTGACGTGAGGTCCACAAGGTCACTTAGCTCAAAGAGGAACGCCATGAATGCTGCAATTTGAGCACAAAAAAGGATGAGTTCTGCCTTACGGCACTAGGTGACTATAATCAACAACTTACTGTACATTTTTAAGTAACTAGAAGAGGTTTTCAATGTTTCCAATACAATGAATATTTGAGGGGATCGATATGCTAATTATCTTGGTTTGATACATTGTGTACATGTATTGGAATATCACACTCTACCTCCATACATATGTACAATTAATGTGTATGAATTAAAAATAAAAGCAGGCCTGGCACAGTGGCTTAAGCCTGTAATTCCAGCACTTTGAGAGGCAGAGGCAAGCCTGAGTCCACAGGTTCAAGACGAGCCTGGGCAACTTACCAAGACCTCATCTCTACAATAAATCAAAAAATTAACCAGGCGTGGTAACATGCACCTGTAGTTCCAGCTACTTGAAAGGCTGAGGCGGAAGGATTGCCTGAGCCCAGCAGGTGGAGGCTGCGGTGGCTGTGAGCGTGCCACTGCATTGGGAATAGTACAGTGGGGAACAGTGGGCTGAGACAGTGGTGGCTATGAGTGTGCCACTGCACTCCAGCCTGGGCAACACAGCAAGATTCCTACTTAAAAAAAAGAAAAGAGCCGGGCTCAGTGGTTCAGCCTGTAATCCCGCGCCTTTGGGAGGCTGAGGTGAGTGGATTGCCTGAGCCCGCGGGTTCGAGATCCGCCTGGGCAGCGAGACCTCATCTCTACAATAAATCAAAAAATCAGCCGGGCGTGGTAGCGCATGCCTGTAATTCCGGCTACTCGGAAGGCTGAGGAGGAAGGATTGCCGGAGCCCAGCAGGTCGAGGCTGCGGTGGCCGGGGAA